ACCGAGACCTATAATTAGAAGCTGCAGTAGTATCAATGGGTGCATTAGTATAATTCGAACATCGATTGTGAAATTTAGTAATATAAAATGGTTACGACTAACGGAAAAAAAGCGAAATTATTTATAATGAAACTGAAACACATGTTTCGAAAGAGTGATCGGTCAGTCTTACAGCATTTAGACATCAGACGCCCTTCTCCTGCTTCATCGTTCAGATAATTCGTGAGTTACAAACCGTCCGACCACCTTTCCTCCACGTAGTCTTTTCTCGGTCTCAAAAGATCGGTTGCGGATATCGAAAGAATGAATCAATGGAGTGGACGCCAGTTTATGTTTCCTACTACTGCAGTAGAAGCGAATCACGTCGTCAATTTTTTGACAGACGCACGAAAGATTCTGTTGTGTTTCTGCATCGTCCCGAATTTAGGGTGGCTGCTGCTCCCGCAGCAATATCAGCGATCTCAACCGGTCAACGCAGATCCCCGTAGGCGAGACAATCTTCTCAGTAGAGATACAATTACTCTCACTAACTGTGTTCGCACTGTAGCGCCACTGTAGCCCTCTATGGTACTGGTGGACAAACGTCCACAGTCCTCACGGATAGCCATGGGTTTTTCCCTCTTGAGTTTGCGTTTTCTTCAAATCCGTTTCGTGCACGTCCGCCATAGCAGAAGCAGCCTGCTCGCAACTGCCTCTATCTTTTATCCATCTCATGCGACTTGATGCGTTTTTAAGTCACTTGCTCCATACTACCCCCCCCCCCCCCTCCACCCCTGTTGTTGCTCCACTGCTCTTATTTGGCTCCGTCGGAAAACTGCCTTTGTGCTCGCTACTAGCCCACCATGATGTAGATCGTAGAGGCCTCGCATCGTGACGACCTCTTCCAACCAGCCAGGAAGCCTCGCTTCCTTTACCTATTTAAGCATCGAGAGTAGGCGGCTCAAATAGCAGACGAGGCGCTGTTGTCCTAAACGATGCGTACACGCGGTTTATGCTATCCATGGATCCATGGGCTCACGAAGGCCTTCTTCCTGTGGGAACCCCTGTCGCTCTCTGAAGGAGTTGCAAAGTATGACTCATTGCTCGCCTTCCAGAGGAGCCACTTCAAGATGCTGGACGCTTTTGCTGTTCCCCTGAAACCCATCATTCCTTACAAAGTTTCTCGTTAGAGCTGCTTCTTCCCATTCTTGGGCACTTCGTGGAGTCCTAACAGACCCTGCTGTCTGCCTGCTGCCACTTCTTTCTGTGCCGCGCACACCTCACTGACATACTAATCGGAAGATATAACAGAGGCGCGGGGGTGGGGTGGCTAGACTTCCTAAATTTATCGCCCTCTCACCCCATTTTTCCTGCCTATTTAAGTTCATTATTCCAACCATCCTTTCCCCTATTAGTTACTCATCATCGTGCTATTTTTCCTAACGAGGATGTCTGTCGAGTTAGTGAAGAACGTTACCGAGTTACGGAAACGTCAGAGGCTCTCCAGCTAAAGAAACCAGATGCGTGTGCTGTTAGAAAGCCTACAAAGTTACCGTTGGGAACTCGTCTGCAAGGGCTCAAGTGGACTAATATCTGGTCACATCAGACTTTGTATACACTAGCAACTAAAGATATGGGGCTCGGTTTGGCTAAAGAGCGCTACATCATTGCTTTCCATATTTTAATATAATATATACTGATAGAACTCACTAAGGAACTTAGGATAAACGTAGGGTGAACGGTTTCAAAAGTTTTCGTACCCTTCGGGCTCTCGGAAATGCACCAGTCGCTTGTGAATCTGGAGATATGTTTTATGAGACTATACACAAGCGGGGAAAAGTTAATTTGCTGGTTCACAAGAATGGGGTTAGTGCAACAGGAGCCAACACAATGCTGCCCCTAGGCTAGTATTCGTCTCCCGAATGGACTGCGAGAAGAGCCGGGCTATTTGGAATGACCCTGTATAACTAACTCTACATATATGCGTCGAAGTTATTTTCGATCCACGCACTACAAGCCCAGATCGTAAGTAGCTCTCAAAGTCTTTTGGTTCTTTAGCTTTAAAAAGTTGCGGGTTAGCTGTTTTTCTGATCCCTAGACAATTTGCTAATTAGAAGAGATTTGTGCTTTGGAAGTTGTGTAGTAATGCTTACACTTTTAAATATTTAAAACTTAACGTCTCAATCTATCTAAATTTAAAAGCAGTCCAACAAAATCGAAATCGGTTAGTTCGTCTCTTTTTATTGGCAGGACAAGTAATTGCTCGCTGACTTCTTTAACGCATTTGCGCTGTTATCTATGCGTTTTCAATCCTCCTCGACTACGGCAACGACGAGAGGAGCGCGATGATTACCCGCTAAGGATCGAACATGCTTAGCAATCGTCAATTTAATAAACTAGCCTCAAACAAACGCAAGGTATCGCCTCTATCTAGCCCTGCTAGTGGAAGAGCATATACATATGCCTACCCCTGCCGCTTTTCTCAGATGCTTACTATCTATAAAATATTATATATGTTTCAGCGTTTCGGCCGGCAGCTCGGCTTACCTCTTTCTAAATCTCCCGCCGTCGTCAATTGTCGACGACGGTCGTTGGCTTTGTTAGTACGTCGGTCAATCTAAGATGGGCGTTATTTTTCGGCTGCATTTCAGCTTTCTCACGACCGTATCCGTCAGTTAGTCAACTGGCGCCAAGAAACGATTTGAAATGAACCAGTCCAGCGCCCTAACGGTCCGGGAGCGACATTGCTGCCACCTGCACGTAAACGCTGATACTTATGTACACGTTCACGCGCGGCTTTTAGATAGTCTGGTTGAGACGTAACAGCCCCAAGTTTCAAAGGCGAGGCAGGCTCTAGCTGGGATGAAAGCGAGGCTGTGATCATTGCTGAGTCTTGTTAGCTACCGTACACGAACAAACTGCTGGGGCGTTAGATAATAACTAAATCTATAAAATACATTGTCTCAGGCCTAAAAGTATTGTATTCAGTTTCTCTTGTACTAGTTTGCAATTCACGAAGTAATTCCTTCGTTGTATTAGCCCTTCTCACTCTTAAAAATTCTCTCTTCAGTTGAGCCTGAGACGTAAGACACATCCTGAGGTTTTATGTATTTAACAAGGGAAAATACTGAATAGTCCTAATCTGCTGAGTTTAGCTTTTATAATTATTCCTTAAAAAATAATTCATAGGATTTCATAGGATCATAGGAGGAAACAAAAATTATTTTGCTGCAATACCGTCAGACAGAACGACAACGAAATGTTCATTATTAGAACTAAAAAGCTCACGGCCCAAGTCCCTTTTCCATAAGCCTGCCAGCGGTCTCATCAGCTGCTAGCGATGCCTGTTTGTACTGCAGTCTTAGCAATGTTTTCTGGACAAAAACAATACTTACTATGCACGTTTTTTTTTGGTGCGTATTGTATTTGTAGGCACTTTTGTTCACGTGCAGTATGTAAGTTAGCTCGACATTCACCACCCATCCTGATTGATCCATTTCAAATGTGGAACGGTTACCCTGTAAACACCGGATTAGGCTCACTGTTATTCACGACCGTGTTAAACTTTGTCTCGCTGTTTAGCTACAAATAATAACATATTTACGAATTCGGACCTAGCAGGGCTGGTGTATTGTAGTCGGACAACTCGTCCCGTTTTCGTGACAATCATCAAAGGGAACTTTCCATGCTTCTATACTGTACTCGATCTTACGAAGCCACGAGTATACCAAGCTAAAGATTTGGGGATATATACGACAAGCGTACAAACGGAAGTTAACAGCCTGCATCACCTCACATCCCAGCTTTGAACTATAAATTAAATATTCGGTAAAGAATCATATCTGTGGTAGTTAGACATAGCCAAAAAAATTGCCACATACATCCAAAAGGAGAACGAAAAAGGATTTAGTGCATTGCAGAATACAAGCCCGGCCACAACATTATTACGCTCTATTCCATCGCCGGTTATCGCTGACATTCACCGCACAGCAACAAGGATAGCAGTAGCTTAAGGCGAAGGCAGAGCATGCGTTGTCTGCGTGTCTAGATTGTGTCCCAGGAAGATCTATAGTTTTCTGCTATATATATATATATATATATATATGTGTGTGTGTGTGTGTGTGTGTGTGTTTATATATTCATGTTGTCTTTTCTAACGCTTTACTTTGGCTGTCGTTCTTTGCATGCGTGCTTATTACAGGTAAGTTCCCTATAGCGTTCCGGCAGGTGACCACGTCAGGTGTTCTGCTAACCAGACCCTTAGAAGCAATTTTCAGCCGAATCGCACGCCGCTTCAATTACGCATGTTCCCTGTTGGCTTGTTTCTCATTTAGAGAGATTTATGCTCACCAGCGTGAAGGGCGTTGGGGATTAGCGTGAGCGTTTAAATCGCTGACACCATGCGAATATCCGGTTTATTTGTCTAGTAGACACTTAATAATAACAATAGCAGTCATCCGCTTAACAATGTCGGACGTCGGCTGTTCATCTCGGTATGGCCCCCACCGACGAGCACCCCAGTGTTGCTCCGACGCTGTGATATTTCGCACCTAAGCAAGATTAGTACATGAACCTTTCTAAAGACTTGACAATTAAATAAGTACATCTATCCACTGTATCTGCTATGGGGCGGGTCGTAAGAACGTCCAGTTCCGCAAACCTTTGAATGTCCGGCCATCATTAGGCGTGAAAGGCTAATTACCGTGTACCAATAGACGGAACAGTCTCCAAATCCCTGAATGTACTTTCTCGACAAAACGCTAAACCTTGTGCTTAAATGGAATTACATATGACGTCTTTTCGCCTTTGGCAGAGTCATAGAACTGTGGGGAGAGAATTTACCAATGGACCACAAACGTTACCTGCTGTGAAGATGGGTAATTTAGTCCAAACCGGATTGCAGAACTAGATAGACCGAAACTATAATAGGCCTTCATGAACTGTGTGCGTTTCTCAATTTATAACGCAGTGTACATTTAGAACAGAATATAGCAGCACTCGCTTTTAGTTAGTTTCGAAAAGGGCGCCTTTATTAGTCTCCAAAGAATTTAATACTATGACAATTTATTGTACGTCGGCCAATGATTTTCGTCGAAGTATTTCTTTATCTAGATAAAGGCATCTTTCTATGATGATTTCATCGATTTTTATCACTTTGATTTACTATCGATCTGTAATTTCCATTTCTTGCACATTCTCCATGTTTTTTTTTCAAAGACCTCAAATCCAGATCGTCGTCTCCCACTTGTTTTCTTTTTATCTGTCCATTGTTTGGCAGGCAAATGCTGGAAAAAAACGTGATCGTTGTCGTCGTTTTCAGTTTTCAATGCGTTAGCGTCTGTGACGTGGGAAGGGAAAAGCGGAATCGCTGTATGTACGTGGTGCACAGCAAAAAGCTGAGTGTGTAGTGACATTGTGCAAACATTCAATCAGGAGTCGGACATATGTCTAGCGCCGGTCTTCCACCGTCAAGCATCATGACAGCGGCAGACTTCGTCGCTAGGTGCATCTGTGGCCAGTGACCAATGTCCTCTTATTTTCGTCGTGTTAACGTTTGTCCTTCGGTTTTTTCTCCGCTTCGCCATTGCCCCATCAACCTAGCATTCTTCCAGTTTCTGTTCTTTGCCCGCCCTTGACGACTTCCCTGCCTTCGTCGTTCGGTGAGAACGCACAATTTCGACTTGGTCGCAGGATCGCTGCCCCACTGTCAGAACCAATGTTGTGTGTATTGCCCCATTTTTCTATTGTGGGTCGGTAGGGCGCGCTGCTGAGGGCAACCGTGGCGCGGCTCCTGAGGCTTGTGGGAGACAAGGGTGTTGACCAAAAGTTTCGATGTGCTAAGGAAGACTGGCTACGTCATTACTCATTCGGTAAGGCAGAAGTGGCCACTCACCATCTCTTTGAAATTCCACGCCATTCCCCTATGTACTCTAAAACACCATCAGCGTCAACATCGCTGCGTCATGCATTACCCGCACGACAATATAGGGCTTGTCATCGCCACAAATCACTTTAGTGCCCTGCCTTGGCTCTGTTTTTTCTTCATGTGCTCCGAACGGTGCTTTTTCCAGTTTGAACTGCCAACGGTCAGTCAGCAAGCGTATCTTCTTCAAAGCAAGAAGCAAGATCCCCTAAGCAGTTAGCTTTAGGTAGAGAAGTTAGCCTCTTGTGCCTTTTTTGCGTTTCGCTATTGGGCACACTCTTCTCCCCATTTACTTGCTCGTACACAGTTCTGAGTAGGCCACAGTGGGAAAGATTAGGAAAGACCGTCACCAATAAGGGCACGAAGTGTTGGGTCGCGTAAAGTATCAGAAACGAAGTGAGAAATGAAAGCGAAAAACTTCATTGCAGCAACCTACGAAGGAAGAGAGCCGAGTCATCCTTGTTTATACGTAAGTAAATACGTCTTATATACGGGAATCCTGTGCACAGCCTTTGCCAGTATGGAATGATGTGATATATAGGCCCAAAGGAATTCTTACTGGACTCGGTGGTTTCTGATCGGTTAACTACAACTACTGATCAACTGATTGAGGAAGCTGCTTGACTAAGATAGTTTAAAATATCTATTGGACTACCAGCAATGTTCTTCTTAGGGCAAGATCAGTGAAACCACTTATATTAACACTAGTCCTTATTTTTTTATATTTAGTATAGCCTGTGTACGTCCAGTATGTCAGAGTCTCTACATAGGCGTGTTCTTATATATTTGTACGCAAGCATATGCTTAAACGCAGAATGTGTTAAAGATGGCCTCTGACTTTTGTTCAAAGGCAAAGCCGAACGCTTTTTGTAACTAGTTTAGCCTGTTCATCTACATTTAGAGAACAGATAGATGTCCTGTTAAAACAACTATCATTAAAATCGTAAGCTGCCATTCTATTCAACCAATTGAACTCATTTTTTTCTTACCGTAGAAGTATATTTTGCTTTGCTGTGTGCCTACTCCTGCTTTGGCACGTGTTCATAATAACTAGGCACAACTTCGCCATTAGAAAGCAGTACCAGCAGAGATAGGCTCGGTGGTTGGGAATAAATCTCTCTTACTTTCACCATTACCACAGTTCTTCGGAACTTAACAACAGCTGCCGCTGTTGCATTCGGATTAGGCGAACCTGGCTGCTGGTTCCTATCTGAAAACAACTAGCCAGAGACTCGTGTGCTCGCACAAGAAATGGCTGTGAAAAAAATCAGAAAGAAACAGAATTTTTATTATTTTTGGATTATATTGAAGAATTCCCGTTGTATATATATATATACAACGGGAATTACCCTTATACCACTGTGCTTCCATATAAAAATGTTTTTGTTTGTTGCTTTTTAATATCGTAATATGTTTCTTAGCATTTTTGGAAGGATTTTCTACCCGTAGACGTTCATTCGTATTGACTATTTGCTTATTGAAACGATGATCCAAATTGACTTAGAGGAATAAAAGACCACCGTAAATTTTTCCTCATTTCATTATTAGCCGCATTTATGCATTGAATCATGTATTCGCTAACAGATAAACTACTAGGGCAATTGTTTTTCATTTACCCGCATCCCAGGTAAGAATGAATTCAAGTGGGCAGGCGCATTAAATTACCTCGATGGGGCAGTACTTGCTTCAATATACACGAAAGATATCTGCGCCATGAAGGTATCAGCGATATTCGTTCGAGTGAAAACCAAAAAATATACAGAATGCATAAATTAGAATCATTTTCGAAATTTGCCTTCAAGATCAGAAACTCATTTCGGTCAAGTATACCGTACGCGTCACGCTTGTATGATAGCGCACGCACATGTAACGCAGCAAGAGATGGGTAACTGCATTCGGAACGACGGGGAAGTGAAGATTCGTCAACACTAGCGCATCACAGAGGATCTTTGTGACTTATTTCATACGTATGATGATCAATGACTATTATGACGACTGTGAATACGTGTTCAAGTACGTAACGTGGACGGAGGCAAGAAAACGCTTACTTGGTGACATTGAAAAGTCTGCGAAAAGCTTGAAGATGTTTCTAGGTTTAAATTATTAATGTTCGGCGTAAACAGATGGGTTATCTTTTCATCTCGTTCCCCGTAGTTTACATTGTTTCAATATAGGATTTAGCATCTTAGAATAATGCACCTGTCTACAAACAGTTTCTACATGAACGCTACTGCGGACAGCTATGTATCAGCCACCTATCGGAACATAGCTGGAAATTGTATTAAAACGTCAGCCGGACTGAATTACGTGGAAACGCAATATATATATATAGAACAAGTGGTGTAACCGTAGCCTACTTAATTTCGTTTATCCGGAATGCTTCTCTGTAGAAAATATAGCTAAGCTAAAATTGGTTGTAGACCAATACTTTTATTATTTATGCGCTCTTTAATGTGTTTAAATCAGCATAGCTTATATAAAGATGAATGGCTATAGAGAGGAGCTTTGTGGTGATTTAGATTTTATAAAACTTCTAAGAGTTTATTGCAACTCGTTCTGCACTAAATTAGGCTCCGTTATAAATAGCTGCCGCAGATAAATCGACATGAGGGTCTATTTGGCGAACACAGTAAAACCTGCATAAAGGCTGACGACGTAATCGCGCCCCATGCCTTTCCTGTGTCCCCTAACGATCATGCTTCAATCATCAATTTAGACACCTTTCATTGCGTTGCAACGGTTTAACAAATTCAGCAAGTAACTATGATTCTATGACTAGTTAACCCGCTTATACAGAGTTCGTCTCTGTTAAACAATTAATTATCTTAAACTACGAATAACTGTGTCCTAATATACTCTACATTATACTCGTATTATAGCATACCCCCGGTGGAAGCCAAGTCAGTGGCCCACGAGTTTGCTAGACTACACCCTCATGTCAAGCGGACAATTACGATGATATCCAATAGACTTCACCTACAGATTGGGCTTCGTTCACTGACTTCGCCTGTCGTTATTTCCACATTGGTGCCTCCAGATCAGGTCTGCCTTTCAATTCCGACGGCAGTTGGTCCGAACTCACGGTCTGTTTGCCTGTCCATCGCATGTCGTCCCCTCCTTTCAGTCGCTATGGGTGAATTTTGTGAGATTAGGTGGTGCTCTTTGGCAGTCTCTCAGACGAAGGTGGCTATTCTCTTCTTGTTTCTGCGCCACCGAGGTCTCTTTCGCTATTCCCAACGCGCCGGTCTGTTGAGGTCTGTCTGTTCGGTATTTTTACGAAAAAAAAAATCAGCTTCAGCTTTAACAAGAGACAGCGAGCGGTACCACAGGCTTTGTCGAAGAGGAAAGAAAGACCTATTTTGGTGTTGCTTAGGAGATAGGACCCAGAGGCCAGCTGAGGTTACCAACAACCCTCCGCTTTGTTCCAAGAGACCCTATCGTTCACCACTTTAACAAAAAAGAGGCAACAAAAAAAAAAGGGAGATATTTAGGGAACAGGGACTCAGTCGTCAGTGTACTCGCCCTATGTGATGTTAGGATACCCCAGTGAATGGGAGGAACTGACGCGGACTTCATGTGCAGGGGAGGTGGTTCGTTATGGTGTCTGCTCTTTTTTTGCCGCTACGTTGCATTGGCAGGATTTACTCTATTGGCAGCTGCTGCTCCCCGTACCCAACGAGTAGCTCCTTTGGCTCGATGACCACCACTAGAACTGACCTCGCGAACTGTAGGGCTTTAGCTCCTAATCTCTAGGTCGATTGGAATTTTTAGCGAACCAAAGTTTGCTTTCTCGACCTTTTAGCGTACCACCGAATTTTAGCCGTTCTTTGTTACATTCACTAAGTTTTGGCTGTTACCGCAGCTGTTGGTGACGCTAGCGCGGAATTCTCCAAAAGTCTGCAATATTCGCTTGACTCTGTCTCTCTTCCCTCCACTCGTTACTCCTAGTGTCATTTCCTTTAAGCGACAACCGAATTTGTCGGCAGACCCGATAACCTTCCGCTAGTGTTCTTTTTGACGGATATTACCCATCGACTGTTTCGTTTGCAAACGATCCTCTCGCCTCCTCTTCGTGCTGATCTCTTTTTTCATAGGCTCGGACATACAGTGGAAACATTAGTGCGAAAAAGTTCGTACCATAAACATCATGGAGACTGCAGAACTAGTTCAAGCAACAATGCTGGAACAGATAGATGAGTTTTTTTAGGCTAGAAAAGCCCGCACCACTGCTGACGGCTTCTTCATCCCCTTATCTGTGACGAGGCTACTGGGGAAGTGGGGTGGCCCAGCATGCTTGCATTTCACTCTCCGTCATACCTGATCTCCAGCCTAAGCCTTGCTCGGATGTTATGAGCTTCCTGCGCCATCTCTTCACGCAGCCATTGCTTAAACGGACGTCGATCGTTGCGACAAGAGTGAAAGCCCATGAGGCAGGGCAACAGTTAACAGCAAGAAAAAAAGGGCAGACACAACCGCAAATATCGAAGACGCAAAAATGTCGAAGAGAAATACAAACATTATGAATGTAACAACACTACATAATAACTGCAACAGCAACAACAACAACAACAACAACAACGACAATGACGACAAGCAACAGTAGCAACAAAGAACAAATAGCCGCACATCGTTCCTTTTGCGTATTTTTGCTGGGAGGATAAATGTCAGAACGAGAAATCAGGGAACCGCACGACACGATCACGAGAGACGAACACTTGAATGAGAAACGCCCATTTTCGTGCCGACCTTATGTATCAGCTATATATACATACAAATATATATGTAGCTGCTGACGTAAAAGTCAGTCATGATCTTTTGCTGCTTGTCAAAGCAAAAAACCAGAATAGTATACTTAATAAAGCCCGTGCTTATACAATCTCCTCAGGTGCAAAGGGCTATTGTTTTTAAGTAGTTGAATGTGGTATTTTGCGACAACCCGTAGAGACTGGAAAATGGATTCGAGAAAAGAAGATCGACATAAATCGGATATCGAAGCAGAGAAACCAATCAAATCTTGTTAGCTTCCAAATGCAGGTCCATAAGCGCATAGCAAATAGAATTCGAGTGAAGACACTAACCTAAATTGACGCTGAAATTCTATTACTGGTACTCATATGATCTCACCGACGTGGGCATTAAAGTGGGCAGGCATGAACACCTCTAATAAATAGCTTCATTCCGAAGTTGAATTATTATTTTTTCGCTGGCCGATTCCAACTTTTACGTTAAAGATTTTCCACTTTCGCCCACGATTGTTTATTCTTATCTATTCCGTTCATATGTCGGAAGGTCTTACTTCATTCAGTCCTGTCACGTTCACCTCTCGTGAGTGCAGAACGGCACGAAAATTGAGTTCATCTTTATATCTCTTTCTATCTCCCTATTTCTGCTCATGTGAACGCGTTTACACCTTTTCCTCACATTTCTTTTTACCTGAAATCATTATCGGAAATTTTTTAGCGCAACAGCATTATTTGCAAGCTAAAGAGGGTTGGCGTTCTACGCAACACTTTCGTTGCCCGGCGTCGGGGTTGTCACCAGTTCTCGAGGCAGACACTTGGCGACCCAATATCACGACCCATCGATTCGACGGGCAATGCCGACAGTTTGCATGGCAAAATCGTGTTGCTATCGGCAATAGTTAGTGGAAGGGCGGAGTGGCAACGTTGTTTTCAACCGCATTCGTTGTCGCTAGGCAATCTGGCCCTTGTTTTCGATGTTGGCTACGAAAAACTAGTTACGGCGGTAAAAGCGCGCTGACTGAACGGAAAAAGGGTCAAAAAGCAATGCTTGTTACGACACAAACCAACGAAGGATACGTGCATAACAAAGTCATCAGTGATGCGTTTTTGTGTAATTAAAGTTAACACAATGGACGATCAATGGCTATTAATTTCCTCGTGTCTTTTTGCCGTATACAAGAGTAGTTGTGTTTTTGACTAGAGTGATGCATGAGTGGTACTGCAGAAGTAGCTGGCTGAAGCATATACAGCTTAAATTATTTATGTAAATTAAAGTATTTAAAAATTATCCCTCTTTAAAAACAGCTCAAGACGATATTCGACGGGTCTGAAGGGCCGACTAGAGCGCACTCTTTTGGCAGGGCATTTTTGAGTAGTACGTTCAGCTATAAAGTCTTCGCCGTATACATCGTATTTATCTCGAGTTATTTCGGCGGCAGATTTATGACGTTTTGTGTAAAATCGATTAGAGAAGCTGAAATGATACCAGCGACGTCCGATACCGAAGTCATCAAAATTTTGTAACTACCACTACTACTAACGCGTAAAGATGACGAGCGTCTCTGGCCACGACTAAATCATCGTCATACTCTACCTTATCGTATTCTGCTGGTAAGCCGACGGTGGTTTGCTCGCCCCGCCCGAATCAAAGCTACTTACTGCTCTACCCCTCACTAGGAAAGTTCATTCCGGGTCAGCTTTCGTCGCCCCGTTTCTGGTAGGAGTGAATCTGTTGCTAGCCCCTGGCAGTCCAGTGCAGCGCAACGCAAGGATCTAGTTGATACTGTCGTCTCTTGCAGAGTTTCAGCTTGAAATATGCCTTCCTGTTGTCGTCGTATTTTTTTCTCGCCTTTGCGCCGCTCTTCCTGTCGCCTCCATTCTCGCAGTTGCCGTAGTTGAAAATCTTGGATCGCGCAGTAACCCCACGTCGGTTCAGAATGGACCGCTCGGTCCAGAGCAGTTGCGGACCACTCCTTGGGGTGCCGTTGCGATGGCCGAGCTGAGCCGCGTCGTACGCTTGGCTTGTCTACCGTCGCCGACGACAATGAGGCGAAAGGAAACGAAGGGGTGGAGGAGTCGATGGCGACTGCCAAAACTCGTTTTGTCCTCCGGAAAAAGAGCATCGTGAGCCATAAAGGGATATTTATGACACAAAAGAAAGGAAAACGTTCAGACGGACGGGCCAGCTCCACATAAGTGTATTTTAGAATTGGAAATAGTGTAGCAGCCTTCCCATCGTTGTTGGCCGAAGACTTGCTAGGGCCGCGAAAATCGTTCGGGCTTGTGACTCTAGGACTCATAAGAAGGGTAGATTGCAAAATCAAACTCTTAGGAAGAATCGGTATTTTTTATAAACTGAGTAGTTTGTGAGTTGATTACATATACTGCCAAGACAGACTTTGGAAGCACCGCTTTGCAGTCTATAGATACATCCTTTTTTAGGGTGAACTTATTCTGGAATAAATATATAGTATAAAGTTATAATCAGAGATAGTACCGCTAGACAGCATAAGTCTGGTTACCTTTTCACTTTGTTACAAGTCAACCTACGTAGAGGCTTGCCGTCAGACTGTTCGCGTACTACGCGCAGCTTATTAATCGGTCATGGAACACTGTGTAGCTAACGAAACGCGTCCGCCTAAATCCGACCCTAGGCAAACTAGCACCACCAGCTGCAATGTTGCGTAGTCTTCTTTGCGACCCGTAACACTTCTGTGCGGAAAAGAACTGTTGGCTGATAGCTGTTGCAGCGGCTCTTTTACGTACTTCTTGCATTTGCCGTGATTCCCGACCATACCAGCGCTTTTGCTTCCACTGACCATGTTTATCAATAACACTTCGTCGCTCTCTTCCAAAAACGTCCTCTCCCTTTCTTTTCTCTCTCTCTCTAGCCACCGCCTGCTTGCTCACCGGCCAGATTTGATTTATCGTTCATGGCTTTTTGTTCATAGACGCTTCATCGGTGGCGATCGAACAGGACGGTTGGGAACTAACTTAAACTATGCAATGATCTCTGCTGTTACGGAGATCGTCGTGCTGGGACAGGTGGTGTTGCACTCGGTATCAGCTTCGGCTACCTTGCTGTCTGTCAACTTTCCTGCACAGTCGCAATGGGCGCTACGCGATTTTGTGACTCTACTATGAAAAGTCTTTCTATTTATGCCAGAGTCCCGCTACTTACCAGTCGAATATTATCCGTTCTTAGTAATTGTCGACCCGTTCTCACGTTAACTCGCTTTGCGTAAAGAGGCACTGTTGTGCGATATTGAAATCCATTGTGACTTCGAATCAATTATGGGCTAGGACCCACTGACCATTTTATGGGACGAGTTCTATGGATCGAAGCACCGCATGAGCAAGCAAGCGCTACATGGATCTGAAAAATAATATTACAAATTATTTGTTCTGTAACCGCAAAGTAATGAAATAATCAATTACTGCAGCATGTTAAGCACGAATTTGGTATTTTTGAATATTTGTAGGCCGATACAATTTTAGGCTGCAATGGGTGCGCTGTTCATAGGTAACTAGCTGAATAATTGGTACAGGACTTGCAGCGGTCTTGCGTGCACACAAGCTTACATCGCTGTCTGCTGCTTCAGCCACACAACCATCGCATGCGCAGTAGTTACCGTGCCACAGATGTGCAGAAACTTGTTTACCATGGAACAGCGAATTCATCTCTGCCGCGTCCGGCCGCGTGTGGGCTGCATGTTGACATGCTAGTTTTGTTTGTAAGGGCTACAGCTGCGGTTGGATTGGCTGGCCGCCGTTTTTGGTGTTCAATCGTATGACACATAACGCTAACGTGCACCATTCAAACCAACTACACCGCATAGGTTACACTACGTGTTTGTACGATCTGTTCTGATCGTCTCGCAAGCTATGATTCCCATAGGTTGCAGTTAGAAGGGCCGAGCATTGGAGTAGAGCACCAGCAGCCAGGTGAGTACCTAGCTCGCAGAACCTTGCGATGAAACAGGCAGCGAAGCAGCGGGGCAATCAGATTCAACGGACAGCTTGCTAACTGAGGGAGATCGCGCTAGTAGCGGAACGTTTTCGTCCGCCTGTGATATCATTACCATCAAGGCGACGGCTGCCGTTGATTTAACTGATGCGAAGTTTCTGCGGAAATTACAGGTTTACGTGCATAAAAAGCGGCACTACTACGACCCCCTTCGTGACGTTTGTCTTCGGATTTTTGATGCCTGTTTAATGAGAAATCAGAAAATGCTAAGCTAAGATTTTGATAACGAATCCTGCGTTCTTATTTTATTGACGCAAAGTTGGATATTCACTAAGTGCTTTGTCACGCTGGTTCATAGTTAATCAAGGGTACAAACCTAGTTGAGCTACTGAGTCGCTACGCGCGTCGGGCGTACTTGTCACAACGTTTGGGTTGGTCAAAAAACACTTTATCTTATTTCTCTCCGTTGAACGGCAATAAAACGACGTGTATAAGTAATTACCCTGCCCACTGTTTTAACTTTATGGTCTAGCAAACGACTACGTAAATGAGTAGACAGTAGCTCTTGATACGACTTGAAGAGAGAGTTATTTTCGAGCACACGATACGAAGTTAGCAGCAGACATTAGCAAGTCATATGGGTTACCAGCTTTAACAGCTAGGGTATGATTAGTATCTGATGACTCTTGTGAGCGATCCTCGTCAGGAATGCGCAATAAAACTCCTTGTCTTCGTCTCCTCTCCGGTCTAACTTATCATCTCGTCTCTGCAAACCTACCCACAACATTAACGGTTTGTTGTAGAGAACAACAGAGCCCATAAAACGCGACGAAGTTTGACGGGCAAGAGAACTGGGAAGCAGGATGCATACGTTCTGCCAGGAAGCAGTTGCTAAATTCATCTATCCCAGAGTGCAAACGTAAATATGTCACTCAGCTGACGCTTGTCATGTAGTGCCAACACAGTTAACGGACTTCTTTAGTATTTTTAGAGACTTGTCGTTGTGAGTAGCGTTAGCTATCTTAGAAACAGTTCGCGTCTGAACTCTGCACATCAGTTCGAGGCTCCAATACGTAACTTAACATAATAAACTCAGCCTAGGAGGTGGCTTAGTTTAAGTTGAGGCTTCTTTAATTCCCTAGGAAACCTCATTATGCTCTGACATATGCTGTACAATCCATCGACCAACATGAAGCCTGTTCCGAAGTTGTTCTGTACCTTCAAAAGTCGGACTTGAGTTAAGGCAGAGTTTCTTACTCTACTCTAATCTAGTCTTAACCATCGCTGGCGTTGTTCTCCAGTGTAATATTTTTTTTCAGTCCACACCAATAACTTCAGCTTTTTCTTCCTACTGGGTGCGGTAGCTTCGATTTGGGATCACTTGCGGAATATCTTTTCCGTTTGAGTCTTTTAGTACTTTCAAAGATAAACGTCGGAAGCGTCTTGGCAGGACAAAAGGAACAGAGCAATCAGGAATGCGGGGTGGCCGGGAGACAACTAAGAAAGACCGAGGCCAATAGATGACATAGAGCTGATGTTATTGCGAGAGAGCTTTTGATTTGTTGATTACTTCCCAGAACTAGCCAGTCAACTAGGCTTAGAAATGGTTTGCCACAATGGCTTTGCCTGCATCCTGGATGCGATTTAAGGCGGCAAGTACATAGCTTTGACAACTCTACAAGTTTGGAAGAGTCCACGTCGCTCCACGCAACTTACGATCATAACATTGATTGAGGTTAGTGCCGCTGTCTATAGTCCGCCCTGAGAATGTCTGTTGGAGAGGATTGAAATCTTTGAGCGTCACTTTTTGTAGTCAGCTCTACCGTTTGAAGCTGGAGAAATCGATAAACATCGGGTAGAGGTTGACAGTCTTCTTTGACATCAGATAGGCATGTCTAAGCCAAAGTATCTAAGCTCTTATGTTCAGCAATCTCAGTTGATTGCCGACTCTAATGAGATATACGTTGTATAGACTCAAAAAGGAGACTTTCAAACTGCAGTCTCAAGCAACTTTTTCTCCGCTGTATATAGTTATCTATACATTTCACCTTAGTATAAAGCATATATTGAATATAAATGAAAAGAATCTATGGTGAATGCGAAGAAATACCGGACATATACCTGCCTTGATAACAACCTACTTCTATTATTCTTTCGTCAACTCTTCGAGATACATTATTGACATTCTGCAATGCAAAATATGATCGTGTACAGATGTATCGAAAGACTTTTTCTCGTTCAACATTACTAATCAATCAGACTGGTATTAACCGCCGCTGTCACTGTGTAGCTAAGGCCACCTACTACTATGTATGGCTTGGCCCATTCAGTTTTGTCCAACCGCTAGCTGTGGCCCCACAGACCCATTTTTCGATTACACATGGATTGGGTATTATTCGCATACGGTTGCAGCACTCGTTATCCACAACCGACCGTTGGCTGCCTTTCGGCACCATATGCCTCCTAATGTTGTTTCCTACGCAGCCAGCCAGCCAGCCATCCGCCTGGCCCCTCCTCCAGCTGCCCTCTGCGTTCCCGCATATGAGACTTTTCGACAGCGGCAGCAACAGCACGGTCATACACTATATTGGAATGGGCCTCGAAGTCTCAGCACGAGAAACGGTGCGGCAACGATGAAACTGGGTGGCGGGTGGGCAGTGCAATCTCACCGCAATCGACGTAGCAGGCAGCTTACCTAGCTAGGGTGGTCAAGCGGGCAAGGACTGGGAGAAGGCTTCTGCGCCAGGCAGACAGGCAAGCAACCCTATGGCTGACCATAGCAGTACACACAGTCAAAGTGGGCAAAAACCATATGCAGGCCCGTGGTAGAACCCTCTTTGCTCTGTTACCACCCCAGCGCGTAACTCTCTCTTCTGGCCTTTCCTTGTTAATGCAGTCATATAACTGTCAGCCATAGATTTCCCTGTTGCGCGCGAGTCCGTTACGGCTGCTGCAGCGTCCGCCACGTCAAGCGAAAGAAAAACCACTGGTCCAAGCTACTCTGTAGCGGCAGACATACAACTGCCTCTCGAAAAGAGAACACTACAGTAGCAGTGTGTGGAAGAAAAGGAGGAGGCTGGGATGAGTAGCGCTAGGCCACTACGAAAGGCCGCGACACCGCTGTGGCCGTTTTCTACTAACGGCTAGCTAGCGCCTCTCAATCAGGCGAGGCCACTCTGCGGAATGAGGTTCGTCCTTTGGGAAGGGGTCGTTTCTGTTGCAGTTGTGTCCTACTTGTAGCAGTAGTGGCTGTGCTACGACTATATCCGTAAGTCGACAGGGTTGAACAACGGCGCTGTGTGACTTTTTACACAGGCAGAGTGTACTAAAAAAGGTAAAACGGGTATCAACCAATATATACAGAGCATATATATGACTACGGCACTCGTGAGATATATATGTATGTGGGGGGCGCGAATTCATGTGTGTATCTGTGAGTTTTGTACGATCGCGCAATGCACGATGTTGGTGCATTCACCATCTTTCAAGTAAATCGACCGACCTGATTAAGGAGTTCGTTCGATTGTACTTTTAAGGTTAGCAAATCATAGTATAGTGTCCAATATAGTTCTGTACTCAGCAGACGATTATATTTCTTTGTTTGGACTTTATGATGACGTTGTAGTGCAGGGATTGCCATACGCTTCTATCATTATTCATATATATATATATCTAAAAAGGTCGCAAATATTTAAAGGAGAAAGCAATCGATTTTACCTCGGGCAGACGAGGATTCCTGTACGAAGGGCCGCTATCTGAAGGAACGTATTTTATGCACTTCGACAGATTTTGACGCATCAATCACAT